TGTATCTCATTACAAAAATATTTATTCCTTAAAAAAATACACAAATGTAAAATACTGCGTTTTCTATTATATCCCCACTTACTTTCCAAGTATGCCATTTGGATGTTGGACCAAACCAAAAGGTAGAACACCTTTTACTTCTCTAGCAATTCTGTATACTGTCTTTCTGCTCTGATTCATCCACTGTATTTCTATGATTTTAAGTATGAAGAATCAGCAGTGAACTTAGGTACAATGTCAGGACTCTAATATATTAGCTGTCATGGAGGTCCCACTTAATATTTGCTCATGGACACCACTGCTGTGGTAGCAATGCTGACTTGAGACCTGATCCTACCAGATGCTAAGGACCACTTTGGTTTGTGTTTTTCTCAGCAGAAGCAGCAATGCTCAGAGTTAGCTCTAGGATTACACCACCCTGGGCAAACTCAGCAGTGCATAAAATTGGTACAGGTACACAAATAACACCCAAACTACACCCTGTGTTAATCACTCATGCCCTGATCTTGCAGACACCTACATACATTCTTCCTGTGTGTAGTCTTGTTGACTAAAATAGGTCTACACAATTAGGTGTATGCATTTCTGTTTGCAGGGCTGAGGTCTTCTATTGCACTGGTAGAGGTACGCTTCCTGGAGAAGGGCTTGTGCACACTTCTCTTGTGGGGGATTGAAAGATAATGTTGTGTTTATACAGCTTTGGAATACAGCCTGCACTTTTTGGAAAAAAATAAAGAAAAAAAGACACAAAAAGAGAAAGGAAACCCAAGAGTGCTAAGGCAAACTGTCAAATGGCACATCATACCTACTTTGTCATTCATTTAGATAACATCACAAAGGCAGACCAGAGGAATTCTGTAAACATATACCATACAGTACATCAGCCACGGGAAATTAAAAAAAGAAAACAACCCTGTAATTCTTTTCTTTCTGTATTGATATTCTTGTAATTGAAAGAGATTGCCTAGCCAGTAATCATAATGCTGTGTTTTTTTGATTTGCATTTTTCTTCTGTTAAAAAAAAAAAAAAAAAAAAAGAAAGAATGGAAATAAAATGCAGTGGTTTGCAAAAGAAACAGTCCCTGAATGCAACGAGGGACGACATGGAAAGTGGGTTCATAGAAACTTAGAAAATACAAAATATAAAAAAGTTTCATAGGTTACTTTTTCCCAGTCTAGGAAAAGATACACTGAAAAGAGGTGTTTTTTTTTTGTTTTTCTTACAAAAGTTAAGGCGAGCAGTTTGTTGTGGCAAAATGCTATCACTGAACCATTTCTGACTCTACTTTTTTGTATCCCCTCATGCTGAAATTGAAAATGTACATGTGATGGCGTAAGTTAAACAGACAGGGAGTTCACTTAAAACAATACAAAAACCCCTTCCCATAATGATCTTTACCAGAATTTCTTTCTGCTTGACCATAGAGCGGACCTCTTCCTTCGCACCTGATTGTGCATGAATTTCCACAGGCAGCCTCCTATCCAGAGGTGAGGGGAAAACTGACCCCTTCAAAGCCCAAAGCAGCCCTGGAAAACTGGTTTACATTCATCAGCCTAGGCTATCGCATCTGAATTGCCCGGTAATGTGGCTGCAGGCTAATGGCTAGAAGGGACAAGCTGATGTCCAGGCATGGCTGCTGCCCTTGTGGAGGAGGATGATTGGAGTAAATGTGTTTCAGACAACATAGCTAAGGTCCTTCAAGTTCAGAGTGATTTGCTCCCATTTTATGTTTTTCCTGACCTCAGACGTGGAACTGCCTTTGACCCGTAAAGACAAAAACCCTATGCAGACAAACCTTTAGCTTTTCTGGATCTATCGGGACCCATTAACCATGGAGTTCATATGAACACATAAAAAACACCGGCCTTCCTAGGCACTCAATGTTAGCTACAAGTACTGAGCAGTAGGTATTTGGCAGGTTTAAGGTTTAAGGCTTGTGCTCTACTTCTAACCACTAAAGGGCCACTTCTGGACTCTTGTGTGCCATCATCTCCCTGCCATGTTGTGCCTCAGACAGTGCAGTGGTCTCAGACACGTTCTGGTCCCAGCCTCAGCAAGCATCTCCCAAAGCTGGCCGCTGAGGGAGTAATCCCCAAAATGCTGAGTCTGTGCTGAACCAGAAGGTCATCTGACAGGGGAGCACGTGGCTGAAGAGATGCATGAACAGAGCGGGTTAGGGTAAAGACAACATCCCAAATTTCCTGATTGGAAGGCTTTGGGAAAAATGTCCACAGTGGAGAGGAGTGACAGGAGGAAAGAGATTGGGCTGAGAAAACACTGGGAGGCCAGGGTGGCCGTGAAGGTGGCATCACACCCAGAGAGGAAAGGGTGGTGAGCAATGACATGACTGACCAGGCCAGGAGGAGATGGCTGGAAGATTTGTTTTTGAGTGTTACTGGTGAGGTGAACAGGCCCCGGAGTGAGCGAACTATTGCAAAGCACACCTGGCTCCCACAGCGCTCACGGGGTAGGGGTGAGACAGAAAGCGCTTCAACCTTTGCGTTGCAGTGCTTTGGGGGTCCTAAACATGCCTGGGGACAGCCTCGCCAGGCCACCCTGAGGTTGAAAACTCAGGGTCTCATTTTAAGAAATGTTGAGACTTGTCAATGCTTAGCATTTCTGGGAGAAAAAAGAAAAAAACACACAACCCAACCAAAAAAAAAAACCAAAACACAGGTTGCTAGTTTCCAACAAAGAGCCACCAGACCTATTGCCACAATGCGGGGCTCTGCGGCCGTTCCCCTCTTTGATAAAACTTAACCACCTAAGCCTGAGTCAAGGATGATGTGCAGAGCTTCTGTGTATGAGTTTGGTCCTTCTCCCATCCAAAAGCCCCCCAGGGGAGATGGAGGGGCGTACGGATGTCTGTGAAATGCGGCCACTGCAGCAGATATGAAGGCCAGGAAAATTTCTACAGAAGACATTCAGATGTGGCTGTCTTTTCCTACTCTCTGCTTAATTTTTTTTTTTTTCTGACTATCACCTGGGCAGTGGTGAGAAGTTATACTGACCAGCTCCGTACTGACGGCTGAGTGACCTAACGCAGGAACTACCTCTCGCATTTTTTTGTGTGTATGTTTTCAGTGCGCCTCATATTACCACCACCATGAACAAGTGTCTCTTTTACTGGCACAGAAAGAAAAGAGTACAGAGCAAGAACTCTGTTTAATCGGATGCTCTGAACTAACAATTAATGCAGTAAAAGCACCATCCATGAAAGAACAGAAATATCATAGGAACCACCTCAGACTGAAAAGAGGCTTTTTGTTGTTTTCTTTTTTTTTTTTTACTTTTTTATTTTGTGTTTCATTTGCTTATTGATTTTTCAAGTCTGATAGATTCAAAGACACTTCAAAATAATCTTCAGTACTTTGTATCACTATCAGAAAATATAAATCCTGATTTTTAATCTCACTTCTGTAGTTATAAATCCAGACTAACTCCACTAGTGTGAGTGAAGCTACACTTAAGCAAAACCAGTGTGAGACAAGAATCAGGCTCATAATACCTCACCATGAAAAAGCTGGCTGCTTTTTCACTGTAGTTAGAAGAATCAAAGGACCGAGAAACAAACATCTACTGATTTTGGATGTCTTTGCCTTTTTGCATTTTCGCTTGGAGTTGTTTTTAACACGCCTGATTTTCAGAGGGCAGATGAAGAAAAATTTACTGGAAATCAGGCCTCATTGAAGTGTCCCACACCAGAAAATGAAGCATCCAAAACCACCAGTAGTTTTTGAAAATGTTAGCTTTGCAGCTGTAGGGTCTTCTCCTGAAATAGCTGCTCCAACAAAACTCTAGTGGGCCTCCACAAGAGCTTTACCTGGGTAAGCAGGGCAGGATCAGACCCATCACCTGCTATTACATAGGTGCACTGGAGGTACACTCTTTAAGAAATTACACTTCCCTAAGAATTACAAAATACAACTCTGACCCTGCCCCCATTCCCAGAACTGAGAATTTCGTCACTGAATCCAGTGGGAACAGAGTCAGACTGTGAGACAAGTTCATTTATATTCTAAGGAAATAGAAAGCAATATCTCTCATCTACTGGAGTTCAGCAGGAAAACTTCATGTATAAACATTGGCAGAGTTACTGAAAGGCAAGTAATTAGATCAGTGACTCCATTTCAGTTGGTGTGACAGCTGCATCTTTTTCATGTCAAGTTAATTTCAACTGTAATTTGGGGAGATGAAGTACACATACAATACTGTAATCTGGAAGATTTATATAAGGCAAAATCATCATTCACACATTTTCTAGAAAGAATAATTAAGGTCCACTTTTGGTATCACCAATAAGCAGAAATGGCTGATGGGTTTTTCTGACACTGCAAACTAAACTGGAAAGTTACTATAAAACAAAACTATGCAAACTTTTTGGGAAAGACTTGTCTGAGTTTTAGCAAATTAAAACAGTAAAATTATCAAAGACTTCCCCCATGAAATAAAAAATAGGATCTATAAAATAATGTTTAAGTGTGATTTTTCTTAAAAAAGAGAAGCAATATTTTTTTAAGGCTCTCATATCTGGCTGCTGTGAAACTCAGACTCCCACAAAATCCTAGGAATCTGATCAAGCCTGTCAGATATCCAAAGAAAAACATAAAACGTGTTTTCATTATATATAATATATATATATATATAAATCAAATAAATATGAAATCATTTGTTCCATTTCCCATTTATCTCTCACTCTGCAATATTAAGGAAAAAACAAAACAAAACAAAAAAAAGCAGCAAAAACCTCCCAGCCCCTCCCCATACCCCAAATAGTACGTCTGATGGGAAAATAATCATGTGTTCCTCTTCCTGAAGAACTAGAAAACAAAGCAACCCAACTGCAAGGCAATGGAGGCATTCACTTCCAGTTCACAGTATTGCAGTTAGAAGTACAGTGAGGTCTAGGTAAGTGACGGAGCAGGAGCTGCCCAGAGCGGGGAAGGAGGAGTTGTTCACATGACAATACAGCATTGACAGCGCTTTTTCTTTTGTGTACCTGGGGCAGCTTCCAAGGGCAGGCTCTCTTCCTTCCCCTCGGGAGAGGAGGGCTCTGTCGTGTCTGACAGGGGCCTGCCAGAGACCAGCTCAGCGGCGTTCCCGTCCATGGTGGAGACGTCCGTCACTGTCTTCTCCCGCAACGACTTCTCATCATCTTCGTCTATCAGGACTAGCTCTGCCTTGATGGTCTCATCATAGCCCAGCACTTTCTTCGTCTCCTCTTCGTCATCGATGTTCTGGTAGCCCATAAATATCATTGTCACCGGCTGATCTGCACTGGCCTCCGGGGCTTCGCCACTGCAGGGTTTGTCTTGGGGCTGAGGGTTCACAGAATGCTCTTTGCTGGGTTTGTGTACCATTTCCAGCTTTGCCTCCTTGAAGAGCATTTGCTCCTTCATATGGCTAAGGTTTCCATCAGCTACTGCATTTCTGTCTGACACAGTCATGGTTTCATACCCTCCTTTTACACTTGATTGTCCAGCTTTTTGCATAAGTTCATCTACGTCCTTTGAGCTTAATTTATGTACTCCATTTTCTACCACTGTGCCACCAGAGTGAGCCTCATAGACTACCTTGGTACCATCATCATAGACTTTGAATCCTCTTTGATGGGCCTCATCTGGGCCAATAGGTGAAGCAGAGACAATCTTGGTCTCTCCTGTCTGTTTGTCTTTCTCCACATTAATTTCCATGGTGCACAAAGCTTGAATGAAAACAAGAGAGGAAGTGCATGTTACAACAAAAAAAGCCAGTGAATGGTTAATTGCCAAACAGACAAAGAAAACTACGGTGCCCCTTTTCCTATCTCCTGCTTCTACAGGGTCAAGCATTCTACGTTAGAGGTGGGACGCAATGCTGTGGACAGAGATAGTTATTACACTACAGCTTTTTAAGCAGCTGGAGGCTAGGCTTACAGGCTGTGGCAAACAGGACCTAGTCTTCCAGCTCATGCCACATGGAGCTGTCTCATCAATTAGGAGCGCCAAGAGCACTTGTGTTAGGTGTAATTTAGACAAAGGAGGTGACAGCATGCAGGTTGCCCTCAACCTTTCCATTCTGAACTTGCCTCAAAATTCAGAGAGACACTCATCTCCAGGAACCTCTCTACTTTCTTTTCCTTCTCTACTATCAAACTGACCATTAGCTGATAACAAGTTTTGTTTGCTGCAAGTAACACCCTGACTGTTTTGTTATCAGCGCCTGTTCTTGCTTAACTCTTCCATCCGTAGCATTCAAAACAATTTAGAGAGGTGAAGAAACATTGTTTACCCCTGTTCTACACGTAGGAAAACAAAATCACATATGAATGGGATAATTTCTCCTGTAGATGCATGGCAACGCAGGTCTCAGCTTCCACACAAAGACACCGACAGTGAACTCTGCTTGCAGGTTAAGAGAATGTACAAAACGGCCAAGAAGTGCTCCCTTGTTTGTTTGAATTAGGCCCTAAGCACCATTGCCAAAGTTGAAGAAAAAAGTAAGAATGAACTGATTTTCAAAGCGTCATGAAACAGCAGGTAAAAACATGCGTGTGAAGGACGCTGCTTTAGAATAGCAAAGAAGCTTTTCTAGCAGTTAAGAAGGATGCAGTAACAAGATGATACAGAGATCACACAGGAGGAATAGACAGGCAGTCTACACTGTTCTAACATCCATTCTGAGGTAAGATGGCATCTCACTAGACACCTCGTCAAGGGTGTCACAGGTTTTCCAGAAGTGGTCATCTGTTTAAGCATTCCTTGTATGCAGATGAAGACATTTTGGCATCCACAGACACTTAATTACAAATTACCACACGCAGTGACAACTGTTCATGAAACTTATGGTGACCATTTCCACCAATGAACCTCAATGGTGTAATCATGATTTGTCTTAGCTGGGGACACCACAACCTTGACATATTGGGGATTTTGCTGACTTATTTTCAAATGAGTACAGAATATCCTTGCACTAAGAACCAATGTAGCTTGGTATGCTTCTATTTTAAAAATCATTAATATAAACAAAACTACTCTTGCTTTATTTTATTCCTTCAATCTTATTATTCACACACAATAGAAAATTTTTTCCTGTATCCTTAAAACAAAGTATTTATCAGCAATGGGAAGTTTATCATGATGTACATCATGACCCCCTGCACTGTTCTAGACAGAAAATTCATTTGTTTCAGTGTGAGCGCATGCTGGCCCCAGCGAGGTGGGCTTCTCTGGCCCCTGGAAGAGCAGTCTGTTAGGCAGCCCAGCCAAATGGAGGGTCTGGCCACCTACATGCTGTGTGCATCAGCTCAGACCTTGGTCAGCCCTGACAGGGCTGGTTAGGTCAAGAGCAACACCACACAGAACCCTGCATGGAACCAGAGAAAAGAGGTGCTGGTGGGCAAAGGAGCATTGATACCTTTGAGACCGAGGTGCTGCTGAAGGCTGGAGTGGACTGCAAATGCAGGGATCTCGCCCTGGCCATTGCAAGCTAGGGGAATATCTCTAAGGACTGGTTTACCACTGCCTTGGGAGGTTTATGGACTAGCTGTGTCCATAGCTGTCAGGACCCTGAACACAGGATGCCCATTTTCACAGCAAAGCAGGGTTATCAGTTTCCTATCTCCCTCCTCGTGCTGAAGCTTTCATGACTGGCCATCCCACAGCAGTTTGAGCAGCCAGGAGGAGGCTGCAGGGGTGAGAGCTGGGCTCTGCCCTGAGGTGTGCAGCAGGAGACTGAGGTGAGGCCAGCGTGGACTGAAACAGGGGAGATTTAGGCTGGAAATAAGGAAAAACACTGTCACCTCAGGGCAGGCAGCAATTAAGCTCTGATGCAGGTTGCTCTGAGGAGCTGTGGCAGACTGCACCATGATGCAGCTCAGAGAGCAGCTGGTATGGATCACCTGTTTGGGACCATTCCAGCCCAGGAGCTGGTGGGCAAGTGCCCTTCAAGTCTCATGCAAACACCTCTGCTCTGAAGACTTTAACCCACTTTATAGAGGCAATGAAACGAAGATGCAGGTGACACCAACAGTCTGGAATTTGCTCTCTTCTAGGTGCAGTTTCTTGGGTGGGGATGAAGTGGAGGAGGAAAGGAAGAGGATTTTGTTTATTGGCTTGGCCCCTGGGCCTTGGTTGAGTGGGGTCTGAACATATCTTGACCTCACCAGGGCTGTTCAGACAGGTATTGTTCAGTAACTTCCAACATTACAGAGGTTGAAATAGAGACTGGCTAGCCTATGGTGAAGATGCTAAAACTGACACACTGGCAGGTTTCCGAGTGACACACAGCTGAAGAAGTAGCATCCTGAGGTCCCCATGAGCTCCCATGCTACTCCTCTTCTTTGAAAAATAAAAGAATTATCTGGGGCATGAATTTTCAGTAAAGGATGCCAATTTTCCTGTGAAATAGTTGAGTGCCATGTTACTGCACATATTTTTAATGCAGAAGAGGGTGCATCTGCCAGGCCCTCCTTGATTTGATGAACAACTTTCATTCAGTAGTGTGCATTAAAAGAACGCTTGTATAGTGGGCCTGAATTCAGAAGCAGGTAGGGAAAATCTGATAGTTAAAACATGTGGACCAGGCCAGATTTAAGACGAGTTGCAAGATACATCTATTTATCTATGGTATGGAGTACTGATAAGTAACAATGTCTTACTTATTAAGAAGACTTTGGGCAATAAGTTCTAGCACCACTTGGAAGACTCTGTCCTACAGGCTGATCTGATCTAGGTGTGGTCCTTGTGTACTTTATGTTTGGCTACTTTGCTTAAGCATTTGACACTGTCAACATTTTATTTTCACCTTTTCTATTGTGATTTCAGCAGCAGTGGTTTTATATAGTGGCCTAACATATCGTTTATGACCAGCCCCAGGGATCACATTAAAGTTACTTGTGCAAGTAAATGCATAAACATACAAGAGTTTCTTAGAAAGCTGTTCGCTAGTGAAGTGCATTGCCATGGGAGAAGTGAGTAACAGAACCTGGCTTATCTGCATGTATGCATAATGTTCACTGTTTGCAGGAAAACCTAGAAGCTCAGCTTGTCAAAGTAGATGAAAAATGAACTAATGTTGATTTCTAAAAGGTCTTTATTTTACCAGAGCTTATTTACTGCAATATGTGTTCTATTAATATAATACAAAACTATCTGATAATAGAGTTGAAACTGAAAGCAGTACTTGAAGATGATGGCCTGTATTCACAAGTACAAGTTTTCTGCACAAGCTTTTATTACAGTGTAACATGATGCAGTGCGCCATGACAATAAGATCCCAATGTACAGACGAAAGGTTCTGGCTTCTGCCTGTTATATGGATTCAGAGGCTGTTCTTAAAAAAAAAAAAAAAAAAAAAAAATCTTAATAGACTGTGAGCTTGTTTTGAGACGGATGCTTACAGTCTACCTCTGAGTACAAACGCTGGTGTCTTTAACCTACTGCACACACATGATACTTTTATCAAGGACTACATGAACAAGACGTCAGGGTCATCTGAACAATGAAAGAAATTACTGTTTTCTTGGTGTTGACGAAATGCCACAAAACACACATTGCTTTTAAGACAGATCAGGGTAAGCAATAGTGAAAGGGAAGCTTTTGGAATGGCTTGCAACAGGACTTTTGAACAAAATGACATATCATGTAGCTGTGTACAGTGTTTTAGCTGCAGACAGTGCTTTGCGATGCTTGTTAACCTGTTCTTCAAGTGAGCCACCTTTCATTCCCACTCCTTGGGATACCTCAACCAGCAATTTGATCTTGAGGTAGGGAATACATTGTTTGGAAAAGAAGGATCTTGAAAATAAGAAAAACATACAGCTTTTCACAATCATGTTGTTACATTTAAGTCACATACTCAATCTGAAAAATAAGTGTTAGAAAATTCTCTGTATGACTCCAACCACAAAACATGCCATAATTCTTCCCACCTTTTCACCAAAAAGAAAGAATGGCATACAAATAAGTATAAAATGACACAAACATGTGAAGCATGTACGAGGTCTTGTGTGTGCCTGTCTGTCTCATTCATCTTAATGGGAGTTGCATGGGCACAACGGAGTAGACAGAACCTTGGCCTAGATACCTTGTATTTGTATCAGCAGAAATGGACGCGTTTCCCATGCTACTTGTATGTAGTTCCACTACATTGTTTTGAGAGTACTCACTGCGACTCAAAAAGCCTTGACTTATTTACAAAATACAAATCAAGCAGCATTTCCTGGCATTTAAATGATATCAGGACACCAGACCCATTAAGGTAATACAACAAAAAAAGTTCATGGCTACTGCACTGGTATTATAACACTTTGTTCCTTGAGACTTACCAGCTACTCTGCTTGCTCCGTCCCACCCAGGAACTGGCTCTGCTGTTCGTGAATAGAGGGTTGGGAGTTCAGGGATCTGGGAGTAAATGTAATTTACTGCATCTGGTGTCAGAGAACAGGAAACAGTTAGATTTGTGTTACGAGCCCCAGTGGCTTCATTGCTTAGACAGCAGAGTGTTGTCAGCCCTGACAATAGTCACTGGAGATTTGTACTAGATAATTGGATCAAAGCAAACAAAATGCAAAGTCACTGTCGTGTGATTGGTGTTCAATAGACTAGCTGAGGCAGGAGGGAATGGGTCCAGATGACTCAAACCTTATGTCAGTTGAACACATAAAATTATCTGTCAGGAGGTTCTGGATTTATCAAGTCCATGACCTTTAGAATAGGGGGGGAGAGAGAGGGAAGGTAAGGAACTAACCTAACGTGATACCCAGAATACGTGACATTTCAAATAGAGATATAAAAGCCCCAAAATGCTGGTGTTGACTGAATTCGATGAAAGGCCAACTCTTTTGCACTGGTTGTTTCCGGTATATCTGAGCCGGCATTTGGCTTTTTGTTCTTAAAGCTGAAATTTAGCTAATAATGAAATCACATATAGATACCCATAGGGTGCCTGCTGTGACCTTCAGTAGGTATCAAGCACTTGCCAGTTCTGCAGTGACATTACCCACTAACAAACCCTGAACTAGTAGAATACTGTCTTAAAGGACTGACTTGTTTTACATTTGAACTTATGGTTGTTTAGCATAAGCTAAATATGTTCTTTAGAAGGGACATTAAAGAAATTTACCAATATTTACCAGGAGATATTTTGTGGATGGGTTAAAGATAACTAGATAGCATATTTTGTTCTGCTAGGATTCAGTGGCTGAGCTAAAAGCATGGCTCAGAAGAGAGATGTGCAAAAACCTGACTTTAAGTTCAGGCACGAAACCAAAAGGAAGAAGAAAAAAAAAAAAAAAAGAAAAATCACTTTCTTTCTTATCAATTGGAAGTGTTGTCAATTTTGCATGGAAACAGTTAAATTTCTGTTCAAACATAAGATATTATCTGGTGTGAAACAGGGCATTCTTCTTCCTCCAAGGGTACCTTGCTGGTACAATGTATAATTTAAGTTGTCAAGCCCTTGGTATGGCCTGGTCCATGTGTCAGGATAGGAAACAGAATCTGCCTTTCTTGGTGCCTCTTGATGTTATAGGCAGACGAGATAGGAAGATCAGCGCAACCATAAAAGTGAACAGATGAAAGGAGAGATAAAATGAAATGTCCTGTTGTAGGCTGCTTGACTGCATCTGGTAAAGGGAGATACTTTAATCACATTCCCTATCGACTAACACCCATCCCCCCAAAAAACTCTATACCTGATGGCATCCTCAGCAAAGACATGATGTACCACCCCTAATTTCAAAGTCCGCTCCTTTGGCAGAAAAACTGGGTCTGCTATTAGTGAAATAGTTTTAGCATCTCAACAGCCTGCAGTGGCCACCAGTGGTGCTGGGTGCAGGAAGACAGTAATCACAGTCCCCAAGACGACACTCCATCCCTCCACAGAGCACTGTAGGTGTTAGTAAGGAGGTCCCCTTTCCCCCTTTCCGTGTCAGAGGAGGATGGCGCAGAGGTGCAGTGCAAATTCATACCAGAAAGCCAGTAAGTTAGTATAGAAGTTCAGTTTGAAACAGACAAATTTGAAAAAAAACAAAACAAAACAAAAAAAAACCTTGGCCAGGGAATTATTATTTTATTTCATACTTCAATGGACATATGGCAGTCTTGGCAAATGGGCTTTTATATTTTCAATGCATAGTGTTTCCTCAAAGTTTTTTATTTTTAGCAGTAGAGTCTAGGAGAAATAATTGTTTAGGACACAGCTGACTGAGCAATGGCTAGCAACAGCTGCTTTCTTTTGCAGGGTTTCTTGCCTCTGATGAGAAACTGGTGTAATGCTTGGTGTTGTTATTCTGGGAAATATCACCAGCAAATGAGCAGGCCATTACTGAAAACCAAAGTAATTTTTCAGAAGAAAGAAGTGGGGACTGTGTTTCTGGGCCAGAATAAGAAGGCACTTTGTGTTCTGAAAATGGCAGAAATCTAGTAATTATTCACCCTTTAGTGTGTACTGCTGGAACAGTAGTTTCAGTACACACTCATCCAGAGACTTGAGTGACAGACCTATCTGTCCACATGTGGGTGTAATCAATGCAGACTTGTGCTGCTTAACTAATCATCCTTACTTCTTTTGCAGTCCATGAGAATAAATAGGCACAGTTAGGGTACAGTTCTCATCCCACGGCACTGCAGAAGGCAAAATCCTTTGCAAGTGTGTGTTTTTCCCCAATGCCTGTACAGGGAACTGAACTGACCATCCTGGCAGCTAGCATTGCTGATGTCTAGCAGCAAGGAAGATCAGTTGTGCAGCTTGATGGCAAAGCTCTCACTTTGATGCTGTACATGTCTGTGGACCTTAGTAAATTGGGGGTTTTTGCCTCCTGTGTTAGGAGACAGTACCTAGGTAAGCGTTAGGTATTGATAATATTTACTCAGTTTAGAAACTTCTCTGGATGTTACTTAGAATAAAATATTACAAGATTAGCTTCAGGACTCCTGACAATCTCTCATTATTGTCATGAGGAGGGAATGCCCCACGATGGAGATTGTGGGGGTGGAATTTTTGTATTCTTTCTTCTGAAGCAAGTGATGCTGCCACATGTCAGAAATGGGGTATTTGACTACAAGAAGTTGAGGATTGGTTCATTCTGCCAGTTCCTGTCTTGTCCCCCTCCAAACGAAACAAACATGCTCATTTCCCTTTATCTTGCTGGCAACAAGGTCTGTTTCATTTAGCACCTTTAAAAAGGGTATGAGAGATCAATTTTACAAGGAGCAGATGAGACGCAAATTAGCATTTTGTTTGCATGAGAAGTAAAACAAAACATAAATTAAAGCATATGAACTGACTGCATTCAATATCTTAATTTCAAACTTTGATGAGTTATTAATATCTAAGGATGCCATAAAGCACGTCCTATGACTTTCAGTACTACTTACAACACACTGTGTTTTAGGACTATGGCACTCTTCCATATTATCAGACAGAAGAGTTCTTAGGAAAACATGTGGGGCAAGATAATCCTTCAAGGGTGCTTACACAGAACTAAACCTTCAGAACTTCTCAGAATAGCTCCCATGCAGAGGCCTGTGGCCTAATGTCAGACAAGCTCACTTACAAAGTGCGAGATTATTTTTAAAAAATCTGACTACCACTAAAATTAATGGTAGGTCGTCTGCGAATAATGGCTCTTGGGACAGGGCTGTTCTACCTGCAAAGCCCTCTGGGGCTCCACCGGATTACATCAGTGGGAACAGAGATTATAACCCTCCCACCATGTTTGTAAAACCACAAATGGAGGTTTAAGCAGGAAGCTTTGCTAAAAGCTGAATAGCCTAGCTCTGACTTAGTGAATTATGTTTTAAACTAACAAACTTGGGGAGTAAGTTCCACAGCTGACATCTGTATATCCACAAGCAACAGGGCGGATGAGCACACCTACCAGAGCAGTAAGGAATGCCCCCCAACCCTCTCCAAAGGCCAGAACACTAAATTCAGCCACCTCAAGTGCATGTATACCAATGTATGTAATCTGGGCAACAAGCAGGAGGCAATCAGAGCTCCATGCCCAGTCTGAGAGAAGTCATAGGAATTTCAGAAAGTTAGTGGGAAAACTCACATAATGGGAAGACCACAACAGATGGCTACAAACACTTTCAGAAAGACTGGAAGGGAAGAAGAGGACGTGGAGTTGCATTTTATGTGAAAGAGAAATTTGAGTGTATAGAGGAGAGCTCTGGAGACCATGCCAGTTCTAATGAATGAATGCCTTTGGATCAAGATTAGAGGGACCAAGGGAGATTTAATGCTAGGTTTCTGTTACTGACATCTCAATCAGGGTGACAAAGCCAACAAAACTTTATTTTCACTGCTCAGGGAAGTATCGGGCCAACAGTGACTTCAGTTAGCCTGACATTTGTTGGAAAATAAAATTGGTGCACTAGCCACCCATCAGGTTCCTGGAATGCAGTGAGGACTCTTTCCTGCTATAGATGCTGGATATGTTGACTAGGACTGGCACATGGCTAGATTTACTGCTCACAAACCAAGAAGACTTACTTGACAAGATAACTAAAAATAACAACCTTGGATACAGTGACCACAACACTGTGGAGTTTAAGATCCTGATGAGCACACTGAAGACCAGTAGTATGACAAAGACCCCAAATTTTAGAAGAGCTAACTTCAACATGCTCAGAGCCCAGATGCAAGGGATTCCATGGGCAGCATCCATGGGGGGCAAAGGAGCTTGTGAGTGCTGGCAGTTATTCAAGAATCCTGGCTGAAAGTACAAGAATGGTCCATCCTCTACAAAAAGAAAGGAAGAAGGCTGAACAAAAGACCACCCTGTCTTAACAATGACCTTTTAGGTGTAATTAAAAGCAAAAAAAGAAGCATACTGGCTACAGAAAGGCAGCCAAATAGCAGCTGAGGACTGCAAGAACCTTGCTAGGGCATGCAGAGGTGGTCTTAGGAAGGATAAGGCTCAGGTAGAACTGGAATTGGCCAAAGATGTCAAGTACAGCAAGAAAGGGTTCTTCAGATATGTGAGCAGAAGCACAGGAAAGACAGACCCATTACTAAATAGGTTAGGATGTGGACTTCAGCAAAGCTTTGACACTGTTTCTGACAGCCTTCTCCTGGACAAACTGACAGGATACAGATTGGGTGAATGCTCTGTGAGGTGGGTAGGAAATTGGCTAACAGGCTGCATTCGAAGGGTGGTGATCAGTAGTTTTTGCTTAGGTGGCCAGAGATGCTGTAATTGTGGCAGCCATAGATGTAAATCAAATTTAAAAGTTAAGGGTTTAAAGGTTTAACTTTAAACCCTATAACTGAAAAACAATTGCTGATGAGTTTTTACAGGGCATATGGGAAGTGACCTACAGAGATCTGTACTTGACTTCTCTGAGGGCATGCTTGTCTGTTTTGCTGTTGGGCCGCACAGCTGATCAAGGTCAGGGAAAACCAGAAGACTCTCTAAGCAATGTGCTAGGAACCATACAATCCAGGCCAGGTTTCCAGAGCCACATCTTTGCCAAATATGGGCTAATACGTAAATTCAAGCATGGGTTTGCGCAAACTGTGGAGTTACTGTAATTATGGCTTCTGTATGTTGGCTGAAGTAGCAGCACGTAGTTTGCATACAGTTTGCCAAAGATTGCAGAGGACAAATTTACCCCTGAGGCAAACTCAGCAGTCAAGGGAGTTACATCAGATCTTAATGTGGCTTTTATTTTATATATACAATGAACCATAAACATACACATATGGAGTGAGAGCTCTTTCCTTTCCAATTGTTCACAATGTGCATGCAGCGTAACACTACAGCATGCTTGGTTTTGACTGTGGATGTGAGCAGCAACAAATTTTGTCATTCCTAGCATCATCTCGGGCCTTGTTTAATGGAGAGCTTGTCAGTGGCAAGCTACCAAGGAGCTGGCAGAAGCATGATTGCAGGTGACAGGGCCACAGCCCCCAGCCTCAGCATTTCTGCTCTGCTTTCTTTTGCATGGTGATCTATGAAGGCAAGTGTGTTCATACTCTGGAAAATGTGGGATTTGTGTTTATTGTGTCTGGATGACTTCAAGGCCAGAAATGCTCATTGCTAAACACATCTGTTTTCTGGGAAGGGTGGGAAGGACACAGAGAGTCACTTGATCAATCACTGGTGCTCACCACCACCTCTCCCGTTCCCTCGCAGCCTTTGCCTGGACCCCTCTGGGCTCTGAACTCCCTCTCGCTCTGCTTTCTGAGCACTCAAAAGCTCTGTCACCACCAAATACATGGCACAGAAACATGCACAGGGACACAATGGTGGGCTAAATCACTTCCTGTACCGTTAACATGTTTAGAATAAAGGGAGGGATGGACAGAGAGCAAACTAATGTGTGATTTATGGTCTTGAAGTCTTTCAAGTGTGGCAGCAATTGAAGAAATTGCCCCAACAGGTCAGTGTTGGTTTGTGTCTGTGTCTTACACAGCCTTTCTGTATTACCCAGTGGCTCCCACCATTTTCCTCTGTGGTGTGTTACAGATGGCTGCCGGACAGATGGCGGACCTCTTACAACAAAGCAAGTCCTACATGTTTTTGAAGGAAGGAAAAACCTACAGTACCAAAGTGTTCATGGTCAGTTCTGTACGTGTTTTCCTCCTGCTCTGATTAGTTACCCTCACTGACTGCTATCAGAAAGCAGCAGAGGACCTGCTCAGCTTTTACTATGTGAAGATGTACGGTCACATAATGCCCGCAGTGGGAGGGCTAACAGGAGAACTTGCAGCCTTGGTCATCCCTCAAGGTGCAGAGTATGGTACTGCTTAGAGGATGACATGGGTCTGCCTCAGTCTACAAGGACCAGCTGCTGAGAGGAAGAGATAAGATATATAAAGCAAATGGTCTAGAAGGGAAGAGGTACCGGTTAACTTAGCTATACTCGCTGCTCCCTCTGCTTGCACATTTATTCCAGAGACACTCTCTTCTCTTTGGCATAATTTTGCAGTTTTTTGTTACCCTTCAGAAATCATGAGTTATCCTTGCTTCTGGCTCAGTCTGTGAGGAAGGGATCCGTTGAAAGAAGGCAAAATCTGGAGAGCAGTGAGGCTCCCCTTGAACTCAATAAAATACTACACTGCTACAAGAAAATACCTTCAAGGAAACTACTGCTTTGTCTTTTCTGCCTGGGGCTTTCTTTGGTTCCCATCTTATCACAACACACATGAAGAGGCAGACCGTGCCTTGCAAGAGTCATAAAAGCTCCTGTGTACTTTGGGCACTAATTCCTGTAGGCACTGTTCCTCTTTTGGAAACTTACCAACAATCATGGTGAAAGTCTGAACAGGTAAAAAATATTTGACATTCTGGATCTTGATGTACTTTGTAGTAGCCAATTTCAAATGCTCCAGGAGGAAGGAAGAGTAAGTTCTTACCATGGAGCATCCTATGTGGAACTTTTTTTTTTTTGACAGTGGGATTTAACATAATACTTGAATTATATTGCTAACAGAAGTGAAAATTTCTGAACTAGATCTCTGAGTCAAAAAGAAAATCCTCTTGCTAAGTAATATTAATCACCTCAGAAAGACAACTTCAAGTCAGCTCAGGTGTTACCTATTAACCTTCCATTGTGTCGCAGTGCTTTAATGTTTGGATCATCCTGCATATTCCTCATCTGTACTCACAGCACAGCCAGGCATGGCTTGAGCTAGTGTTGACCTCTGTATTTTGAATCTTGTTAGTTCAGAGACATGCACTGAGAATGAGTGTCTGGAGCACAGATTTATCTGCAGATGGATCAGCCTGATATCCTTCCTGGGTCCTAAGGGTCCTGGAGAGGCATTTCAAGGATCTCTTTAGATTCCTGGGAACCAGCCATATTATTTGCTCACTCAGACATGTAAATTTACAGCTCATTATTTAGACTGATCACACATAGTGTGACACTGAGTTAATAAACTAGGAATTATTACACCTCATCTACCCCTGTGAGGTTTTCCTTTTGTAAGAATCATCACACAGAAAATACCATTCATCAGTGAAGTAATCTAATGTTAATAATTGTTCTCGTATATTTGGAACAGTCCTCATTGTATTTAACTGTTTATGAACAAAGCATGAGTGCATATAACAGAGAAGATTGACCAAAGAGAGGTGAAAAGGAGTCTGCAATGCAGGGCTATCACATGGTGAAAGGGGTCAATAACACAGAAGTTGTATGATGTCTGTTTTAAGTTATCCATGCTGTTCTTTCCCCTTGTGTGCACATAAGAAGAGGTGGAGCTCTGCCACAGGAATACCGTTTCACCATAATAGTGACATTTGCGCTCGCACTACAGCAATACCAAAGAAAAAGAGAATGGCTCTAGCAATAAATCAGAAATACACAATGAAGAGAACCTCCACTCTAAACCTTTGCAACAAAGCTATAGTAACAACTCTTGTTAAACCCAAAGCTACGAAATAATAAAAAGGCACTTACCACCATCCTGGTGTGAGAAACTCTGTGAAGGGAAAAAATAAGATGTTTGATTAAACCCTTCATATATAGGGCATAATTTGCATCAAGTCTTAGGTTTTATGCTAGGCTTACTCTTATGGTTCTTTCTAATTTTTAAATGGGTAACTGGGGATGTGGCTTGTCAGGTTTAGGTGCCATTAGAGGCTGAAAGAGAGGGATGTGGTGTAACTAAAAGGAGAACCCCGCTGTTTGTTGCAGGCTGTAATGTTCAGGAGTGGTGTTTGTGGTGGATGCCACTATCTCTGGGTGCCACTGGTAGCAGGGAAGTTTGAGATGCCTTTCAAGATCCTGCTGACATCTTTCAGTGTGGCTGAAAGCTCACATTGTTTCCCTGCAGATAAGATAGGGAGATAATCTTTGAAATCCCTCTTCAAAAAAAGCTGGAGTGTGAAGGGGAAATCCAAATAATCCAAGCAAAATAGATCTGACACCTCTATATCTTTTCTAGTCTTGTTGATCCTGGTTTCAGCTACGTGCTCTGCAACTCTCCTCAATCTTCCCCTAAGTCCATGAATTATAACTTTTATTCGTGCTTTCAAACAGAGTCTACTTTGCTAAAAGTCTACCTTGGTTTCAATCTGTGCCTGGATGTCTTTTTATTTTAAATACCTTTTGCAAGTTGTCGAGGGATTTCTCAGTCTCCTTTAGTTTCTCCAAAATTATTTGTTCTTTGGCAGATATTTGGGATTCTTCACTTTCTAATTTCTGTATTTCTTGTTCCAGCCTGTGGAAGACATACAGACATGCACATATACACAAAAATAAAACATGTAAAAATTATGTCAATGAGCCATAGTTTCCTAGGTATTAATTAGCATTTCAAATGTCATCAGGAACAACTTTCACTCTTGTTCACACTGCTCTCCTAGGACATGAAGAGCGTGCAAATTATTTGTAAAACAGACAGAACCATTTAAAAGAAAAACACTAATTCTCTTATTATCCACTTATGCAAAAGCATGTACCGATTAACTAAAAATATACCGCAGTATCCCTTCACCCCAATTCCCGTAACATCTCTCACCTATGCACTTTCATTTTAGAAATCACAGTACGGGATACACCCAAAAGTATGCAGCAATAATTAGAGGAATAGGTGTCTTCTAATGCTTCCGTACTCCAGACAATGAAACTGGAAGCAGTTGTTGGAAGCTGGCCGTGAAACAGTTGTGTTAGGAGTTTCTCTTGAACCAGCACTTTGTTCACTCCTGACAATACCGTTTTGGGATACCCATCCATGCTTTCTACTCTTAATGCATGATACTGGGTAATAAAATATACAGGTTGCTCAGAAAATAAACCTATTTTGCTAGGTAGTGAGCATTCAGCACTCTAATTTCTCTTGTTGAGACCTAATGGAACTCACTTCTTAAGGTGTATTGATTGTGATTTGGGATGCACTTTAATCAGGGTTAGATTCTCCATTACTTTAACTCAAACCTCCTTTTATTGATGTGATTTATGCAGGTGCAGGAATATTCCCTCTTTCCCTATATTTTTATGTATAGCACCACCTTTATTTTCTCACTTTTGAACAAAAAAAAAAATCAACCTGTAATATGAGCTAAGGTGAACACTTTTGAACAAGGATAGTTACCTAAAACTCCCCTTGTCCACAGAAAGAGCTGTAGCTACTCACAGCTTGTTGGACCATATTTTTTTGACTGCAACAGAGCAGCATCACCCAGTGCTTTCCTCCCCCACGGCTACTTGCTCCTGCCTTTCTGCCACTGCTTCTTAAGCGAATGATCTGAGCACTGATCCAGGCTAAAGGGACACATTTTTTTCTCTCTTTTCCAGCCCTGCTCAGCACAAGACTTCATTAACGCTTGTTCAGTCACAAGGCAGAAGGCAAGGAGAAGGTGACAGTGAGCAGGTAGGGAGGGATTGCTCCTTTCAGGGCCTTGGCAGCTTGAGTTGCTTGTGAAATTCATGTGCCTAAATAGAGACACAAGGGTCTAACTTAAGGAACCCATCCGGGAAATTTTTCCCCACTTTCTAATTGTGTAGGGATGTAAGATGTGTGGCACTTGCTGATAACACTTTTCATTAAAGGGCAGCAAAAGTGTCACAGCCTCAAGTTACTGCAGATGGAAAAAGGCAGTTTTTGCTCTCCTGAAGTATGTGAATACTTAATAGTCTCAAACTTGTGGTGGATTGTTGAACTGTGGTTTTTCTCTCTTAAAGGCAACCCCCTCATCTCCAAGTTGAAATGGCTTAATTGCAGTGATTTCCAAATGAACTGTTGGAAAGTAACTGCTTCAATCCACTTAATGTTTTCTCCAAATTAATACAAAAAAACTGCTGATATGGAACAATTTGATACAGGATTATTTTTTCCCCTCATGTGATTCAGGGAGATAGCTTTCAAAAAAACACAGTTACATCTTGATTTTTCTTTCCAGGAAATTTTTAAAAATACCTAGTGAAATGAAAAAAATAATTTGTCACTGAGGTCAGCCATTGCCATGGTCCTACGTAACAAATTTAGAAGTCAACAAGAAGGTGGCTTCTCTTCCTTCCCTATACCTGGGAACAATTAGTAGATCCACATACATTTATATATACATTGCTGATAAAGACATTTGAAATATTCTGCTGTGCTGTCTGGTGAATTTACATTGTGGAGATGGGAAAGTTGGGGTTTACTGTTTTGTTTCTTTTCTTCCCAAGTGAATCACTAAGCAGCATTTTCAGGATATGTATTTCGTAGTCTGGTACATTTTGCTCACTATATGATACAGGAAGAGACTGGAAAATGGGAGTGTGTAGAAGTCAGCAACAACAAAGCACAGAAGAAGAAAGAAGTCTGCTTTTCTTTCAAATGAACTGGACATTAGTTAATAATTTATGACAATGAATACACTGTGAGTACACGCGTGTGAGGCAGCTCATTTGATGTGAGTAAGGTAATAAGCAAGTAGTCTCCCTGTAATTTGGGGTGATCAAAAGTGCACCATTTTTTGTGCACCAGCTCAAAACTGTAGAAGGTCTGTCATTAATTGTTTGGTCTTCCAGAGAGAGTTTGCTTCTAATGCATGCACAAGTGCACTTGCACATGCACACTCAGCAACTGATTTGATTTATATTTTCTTACTTTCTGGCAACTTGTTTTTTTGTTTTTCCTTGTTTAGGTCTCTTTTATCCTCCCCTCCTGGCTCACTTCCACAGTTTCTGCTTCCCTCATGCCAGTCCACCCTCACCATTAAAATGTGCTGGGCAGATGAAACATTATGTTACCTTATTTTGACAAGACATCTTGTTGTTGTGTTTCGATTTTTTTTTTTTTTTCCCCTGAATTCCTTCTTATGTTCCTTTTAGAAGCAGTATTAACAACAACTTACTAATGAGGAAAGGGATGGAGACAAAGCCGCCAGGATTGGGAAGCATGGGTAAAGCTGGTAGGGACAGAGATTTCCTGTGTGACACTAAGAATGTATACAAACTCATCCTATAGGTGAAAACTGCCCTTTTCCCACCAAAATCAGTGCAGGCAGACTGAAAGTCTCCCAGGCCCTATGCAGAATGGGTCTGAATTCCTAACTGTGGCAGGAAAAATACGGATCATTCAGCCAGAATGTTCTTGTTAGATGGCACAGGGATCATATACTGAGCATTAATATCCACAGGAGGTTGATTCATACCTTTTTGCTCAATTTTATACCACTTTATTCTGCACTCTCTAGGCTTAAAGGCAGAGGTAATGCTGCTGAGGTACTGAGGTAACGGAAATACTCAAGGGCACAGTTTCCATGTGAGCTGTTGTATACATTCATCAGTAAACCATCTGGGCACCACAGACCTCACTGGAAAACTTGGACCTAGAGTCTTCACCACTTCCTTTGGGCTGCCTTTTTACATAGGGGCCAACAATGCAAAAATTAAAACCATAATGCAAACTGAAGGCTGTTTTGCACACTTTATTTTTTTTAGTGAGCTTCATATCATCAGAATTGCTGAGTGATAAGAAGAACTGCCTGCTTTTTTGGTAACAAGATACAACAGAGGCATGCAAATTTGGTCTGAAAAACAAAATGTACTAATACCACACTTGTTTTGAGCAACATGCTATATAATGGTTTAAACAGTAATAAATCCCTTCAGAGTGCACATATACACGTACGTGCATATACAAAGTGCTTACATTCTTCCTGTGTAAACCTGTTAAATATTGAATAATGTCCTTTTCTTCTAGCCCAGTTTAAAAAGGATGTGCCTTAATTGTTATTTGACACCTGGCAAGGAAACCTTATAATTCCCTTGTTCCTGGCTTCTTAGCAGATTTCAGGCTGGTGTTTGAAAGACAACCACAACAATAAAGCCAGTTAAATAAACAACTAAAATATCTGGAGTGCTGTAAGGGAAAAAAAAAAAAAAAAGAAAGAAAACGGAGATCCAGATGAGGTAAAAGTGATGTAAACCAGACCATTATTATTGGTGCTTGTTGGCCCAAGAGCTGTCTGATCACTGGGATTTGCTAAACTGTTTATGAAAGCAGAAAAATGGGTCACGGACTCCGGAGTTGCTTTGGCACAGGTATGTACACAGAGCCCTATTCCCCCAAATATCACAGAAACCAACAGGAGATTTTGCCACTCAGAAAGCCAAGCTTGCCTTGCTGATAGGCTGTCTGTCCCACAGCTTTCTTTAATGGGCGGCTGCCATAAGCACCTAAGGGCATAACAGGATTTTCAGGGGGCCTGAGAAGAGCTTCCTGTGTAAGCCAGGTGATCCTCCTGCTCATGTTAATGGTGCTGTTCTGCTATGAAGGGAAAGGAATCTTGAACAGCAGAAGGGATGCTGACTCTTGGACAGCACTTTGCTGTCATTTGTGGGCACCCTGATTCCTTGGTTAGTAAGATTACAGGCTTGTAGGATAATTCAGACTGCAAGTGACCTCGGGAGGTCTCTAGCCCAACCTTTTGCTCAAAGAGGGTTGGCCATGAGATCAGACCTGGACACTTCTTCCAGTTGGCGTTTGAAAACTCTCAATGATAGGGAAAATTTTTTTTTTTTTTAGGCTACTTGAAGGCTCTCTCTCTTATATTCCATAGCTATCAGACATTCCCTGCAAACTTCAGACCAGAATCATTCAGTACTGCAGGGGAATGGGATGCACCAGACTGCTAAAGGAAATCTGGTCTGTGTGTTTGGTGGGATTTTGAACTAACCAGGTGGCCACATGAGCGCAGGCAAGGCTGGCAGTGCTGTTTCTGAGAGGACTGCAGGTGATATCAGTGAATGAACCCTTCCTGCAGTGATGCTGAGATCAGGGACCAAAGGAGCTGTCGGGTAGCACAGAAGACTTTAAGTTAGGTGATGAAAAGGGGAGTTAAGAAAGGACATCTAAAAGGTGAAGAGGCAGAAGGAGAGGTTTGGTACTGTGATATGTGTACATGTACATTTATGTTTAGCACTCAGTACCCAGCAAATATGTCTGTCTATAGGGCTCTGCTTTGCGCTCCAGCCTGAAGGTGATGAATGTGCTTTCTCTAGGTGAAGGATCTCCTCTTTCCCATGCTGAGATGTTGAAACCCACAGACTTGGGCAGCCATTGTCCTCTCTGCTGAAAGGCAGAGGCTGTTCTGGCACAAGGTGCCTTTACCTGGACGCCAGGAGGGACCCTCAGCAGGATCCTGCAGGGCACTCACACAGCTGGTGTAGGGTCATACTGCTTTGCAACAGGAGCACACAAATCCTACGTAAGCAGACTGTGTCTGAAGA